GTGTGCACCATTGTAATGGAGTTTTGGAGACTTGCGACTTGCGACCGATTGAGGGCTGTTACGACCGGAGAACGGAGAACGGAGAACGGGGAAGCTGTGACTTGCGACCGGAGAATGGAGAACGGAGAACGATGACAAACGCCGCCGAAGGGGAGGGCTGTTTGGGTTTCCTTCAGTTTGTTGGGTTTCGTCACTGTCACGAACGAAGAACGCTGCCGAAGGGGAAGGCTATGTGGCTTCGATTGAGGAAGAGAAACGGAGAGGGAGGGTTGTGTGGCTTCGATTGAGAAAGAGAAAAGGAGAGGGAGGGCTGTGTGGCTTCGATTGAGGAAGAGAAACGGAGAGGGAGGGCTGGCTTCGATTGTCGGGAAAGAGAAAATGGGGAAGAGTGGGAAATGCGGCTGGCGGGTTTTTTCGAATTGAGATGGCACGTGGAAGTGGAGTGGGGAGGATTAATTCAAAAGTGGAGTGAGTTAGAAAAAAGAGGTGGGGCTTTTTAATATGTGTACACGGCCGTAAACCTGGTGTGTACACATAGCATTTTTGATATATATACGAAGTAATACATAAGCAAGTTTTTTTTTATAATCCAGGTGTCGGGGCTTACGCTCCCATAATCCTGTATCCTATGAACTACCCTCCAAAGCCCCTAGACAGTTAAGTCCGGATCTGATCACAGTCAGCCTCGTCAGTACTGGCTTCAAAGGACGAATCCAGCAGGACTTACATCACCTTTCAGGCTGCTCCTTCCACCACACAAACCCTGTTGGTGATTTTAGTATCACCAGGTTCATTTTAGTGTAATGGAATTTACAGATTACCAATGGAGTTCAAGTTTAATTTTAGACAAGTTAGGAGGTGCGGAGCGCACACTTGTACGAAATTAAATTTAAACTTGGTTCGATTAAATGGCGAGGTCAGGGGGGCAGCGCCCCTGGCGGGGTCCAAGGGGCAGCGCCCCTGGCGGATAAACATGTCCATATTAATTATTTAATAGAATGACTTTCTGTTAGAGTAAAACTCTAACTGATTGGCCTTATCTCTTTGGTAATCAGAAGAATTCGAGTTCTACTAAAACTGCTAGTTCGTGGTCTATATATTGGTGCCTCAGTTTTAGACTGTCTCTCAGAGTGATTATCCCCATAATCTAAATTTCGTGTAACCCAGGCATATGGTCGAAATATTAGATTCGGAAAGTGATTACACGATACTCTGAGAAATCCGCCAGATTTTCTAAAACAGTTTCCCAACTCCCCAGTTTTAACAAACCCGTTACCTTCATTACCATCCTCTCCCTTCTCAACCGCTGAGCAACTCCGTAAAGGTAAGGAGAATCATTGGAAGCAAGACCCCCCTCATCTTCGGAATTGAACCCAAGACCTCCTACAAAGGAGAGACTTGGGGGTGGATGGTCATCCATGCGACTACATCCACCTTCCCCATACATAAGCAAGTTTATGATTTGTGTCTCGTACCTTTTCAATGTTTGAGACGTTTATATATAATTCAACCCTCACCCCCACACATTGCGTACTGTGGTGCAGATATGCCTACTGTACTCATCATATATACACCCACCCTTCAAGAATAGGTTGCACATGACCTACCTTTTTATTTTATTTCATTTTATACCTAATATATGATAGGTAATGACAGTAAGTGACACCATTAATACATTAGACAAGAAGTACATCAGTAAAGTGACCGCGAACTACTACCCTATTAATCCAGTATACTATAGGTGCCAATACACAAATGTAGATCTTGTGCGTTAATGGGCACCAATGGTAGGAAACAATATGAGCGTTTTTTAGGGGCTGACAAATGTCAGGGCTAATGGTAGTCATTAGAATCGAATGCTTGGAGTCATCTGTTAGTTAAATATTTGATATGTTAAGTTGAGATAAATGGTAATTTAATAATCATATTCAATTATTGTATTGATGTATTGCCTTCTTTTCATTTAAATGTTCTCACACGATTTACGACATTTGATTGACCATAAAATTAACTGATCCCTGTTATTAGTAAATTTATTTTTAGTAAATAAAATTTACATATTCATAAACTACATTAAAACCGTTACAAATTAAAGTCTGATAAAAAAAATAAATTTGATAAAAGTTGAATATATAAAGTAAAATATTAAGAACAATTCACGTTGATCGGAGAATAGTGGACGGAAACCTTTAAATGGGATGGAGGGAGTATATGTTATGTGTTATAAACTTCACGCAACTAATGAGTGAATAAGTTGATTTATTGTCTAATTAAGTTTAAGAATATAATCACTACCACACATCCAAATTTTCTTATTTCAAATTAAGATGTTGGTGATTCTTTTCAGGAGTCATAACTTTTTACGCGTAATGAATTACAGTGTCCATAGTATATCAAATTAAAGATATTTCAGAGCTCCTCATTCTCAAACTTTTCGGGGGGTCAGTTGACTGTCCTGACCCCTCTTGGCTCGGCACCTGTTTGTTAGCCACTAGTATGAGTGATTCCTACCGGTGGGCGTAGCTCAATAGGTAGCGAGGGAGTGCCACAAGGGTTAGGTTCCGGGTTTGAATCCCAACAACTGCGATGAAAGGTTACTATGCTAAAAAATGCATAGAGCCTCTACAAGTACCGGGGACAGAGCCCCACTCTCTATCTGTCAGATTGGGATTATAGTCCAACCTACCGTTCGGTCGAGGTTGGGGGCCCTCAGGGATGGAGTGTCATCCTTTTTTTAGTATGAGTGATTCCTAGAGAAGGTGAGTTGAGAACACACACAAATTTGAACATATTGTTGATTGTAATCTTGAATTATGAAATTAAACTTATGCCTCAGTGTCACTAAAAAGAGCCAAGAAACTCAATTGAATATGTTTTTACTTGGACTGTAATTTGCTGATCTGATCCGATCTATTTGAATTCGGTCTGGTCTGATCTGGTAAACGTCCGGTCTTTGTGTATTTTATAATCACAGAAGCCAAGTATGATCTGCTTATATCTTGTCTGATCTGTTTATGTTTGGCCTGATCTGATCTGATTGAGATTTAAAATAATCCAACTAAAAACATTCTTATTTAATTTATATGTGATTTATGAGTGATCATATGTTTTACTGGAGTACAATCCAATGGCCCGAAGATCCAATATACTCCTATAATCAAAAGCTTGTACAATGTACATAATGGGACGCGTGCGTTTTTTACGTCCTTGGCTCTAAATTCGGCGCATTAGCCCGTTATGATTTAAAAAATGTGTCAAACCCTCTTGTTTTTTAATTAATTGTGCGCAAAACCCCTTCAATGAACAAATTTAATTGTCAAGGAAAAGAAATATGATTAACATTTTTGTATGATTTAGAGATTTTGACATATTTACTTGCATATTCAATCAGAATATTAGGAAAAGTGATTTCAAAATCATTAAATTTATTCATAAAAGGGGTTCTGTGCATTATTAATTAAAACACAAGAGGATTTAATGCATTTTTCAAATCACAAGAAGGTAATGCGCTGAATTTCTATATGACGAGGGGGTTTGGTGCATTAACCTCTCGTGGAGTGAATAGGCAGAAAACATCAACGGCGTGTTTGGAAACAAAATTAGTCATCACCTGATTTGTTAAATTTATGAAATTCTGATTGAATTAATTGAATTGATTGAATTTAATGAATTATGAAAAAAATATTTAAAATGTATTTTATTAATAAAAAATATTAAATTATTTAAAATGATTTTTTACAATAACTTCAATCAATTAACTCATAAAAATAACTTTTATCGTAATTTTTATTATACTCTCTTCGTCCCTGAAAATACTTCCAACTTTCCCTTTTCGTCCGTCCCAATTCTCACTTTCTTAATCCGCGTGACACTTTATTTTGAAAGTAAATTATGGGACGGAGTTAGTAACATAATTTAGTACATGAAACGAAACATGCTCTGAATTTGAGCTATTGAAACTTTCATGGGTATGAGCAGGTGTATAGTGAGCAGGTGACCAAAGGTGAGAATATGTTCTCTTATATTCTCTCATATGAGCCCAATTATTATCTCACAATTTTATACTACGTATATAAGATTGACTATTTTCTAATTTATTTTGATTTTCATTTTATAACACTTTTAATTAACCTACTTTTCATCTATTTTTTCCCCTCAAATTCCATGCAAGATCCATTATGAACCTTATTAGACATAGATCTATTATCTATATCTACAATTTATCTGTCTCTCATCTATTTTTTAATTTTTTCCTACCCACATTTTTATCTATATTAAATTAAATTAAAATATTCATTCCATGATTTCTATCTATGAGTATAGTTGACACAATTAGCTAAAAATATTTTTTGTGATTTTTAGTAATTGTTAATTTTCAGTGACCGAAAAGATCTTACATGAAAAATGATAATTGTTTAATAAAAAACTAACTGTTTGATTTAATTCTATTTGACATACAAGTTGTTAGAAGACTTGGAACTAATTAATATTGAAAACTACAAACTTTTCTGAGATGCTACTTATTGTACCATCTCAAACAATATCTTTTATTTCTAAAAAGCTCTTAAAATTGTAATGACAAATATTCAACTACAATATTTTAGAAACTTTTTAAATAGTAAAAAAGATAGTACTTCCTCCGATTCTTATTAAAGTTCCCACTTTCCTTTTTGGGATGTCCCTTATTTAAGTTCACACTTCCATTTTAGGAAACAAAACAGTGCAAAACAGTGCCAAACAATGTCAAACAGTGTCCAAACAGTGCCAAACAGTGCACTCCACAGTAAAGTCAAATTCATTTTCTTAATATGTGTGAAGTCAAACTAAGAACTTAAATAAGAACCGGAGGAAGTATCTCTCATACGTCTCCTTCGTACAATTCACCCTCCCATAAGTCAATGGGAAATGCCCAACGCAACAAATGAGCATTGGAACTCATTCAATATATAATTTCTCTTTTTACGAAATAATCATGTACTACTTTTTATTTTTCATATGACACCGATATTGTATATATAAAGTTAAAAATATTGATGACCATTTACTCAATTTTTTTAGGGTCACATCTTTTTTCTTTGGTAAAACTGAGAGTCGAGTGTCAAAAGTGTCAATAAACAAAACCTTGTGTGGATTAAAAGAGGCAAAAAATCGAATAAAAGCGTAACAAGCTTGAACTTATAAATAGACATACGTTGGTTCAATATACTGATATGCACACATATACTACATAACATCACAAGCATATCATTCTGCTCCCCTAACAGTGACTCTTCAAAGCTCTGTCCAGTGCATCAAACACAGTCTGTATATCCACTTCTTCCACAATAACTACCTTATCCCTACACTTTGACCCAGAACGTATGCAAACTTGCCTTCGTTTTACTCCAAGAACCTGTCCAAAAGTGACTTCAGATTTTCCCCAGAAAGCAATATTATCCCTACACTTTTTTTCGTTTGCTTTATTATACTACGTACTCCCTCCGTGTCTATTTACTTGTCCCACTTCCCTTTTTGGGACGTACCAAAACATCTTACTTTTCATATAATCTAAAGTGATTATCTTAAACTACGTAAAAAAGCAAACGGGTTAACTAAATAGATACGGAGGGAGTACTACGTATAACAATTCAAGATATGTCAGCCTTTAGTCCAAACTCCAAAGCTACAAATAGGCTACTCAATTACACGAGAGCATTGGGTAATAATAAAATACGTAGTAGTATTATTCATGTTGCAAATCCATTCCTGATATCCAACTGCTACAGATTCTGTTTTGCCACCATTCTTAGTGCAGAGTTGCACACCATAGTTATCAATCATATCATTACACATTCTAGTACAACTAATATCTTGAAAACTCGTCAGTGACAAGAATAAGCAAATGCTTCCCCCGTCCCAAAATGATACTCCCTCCGTCCCATATTTATCTCATTAAGTACAAATGACACACGAATTAAGATAGTGGAAAATGTGTGGTGGAGAGTTGTGCGGAGGAAAGAGAAATGTGTAAGAATGTGTAAGAATGATTGTGAACCACAAATTCTTTGCTAAAAAAGGAAAGAGGAGATAAATTTGGGACAGACCGAAAAGGAAAGTGTGAAGATAATTCCGGGGCGGAGGGAGTAGACGTTTTAGAGAAATGCACACATGTTAAAAAGTAGAAACAATTATATGAGCTAATGTGAGCAAAGTTCAAAGATTAGTAAAGAAGAATGCATTGAATTCCTATAACGACAATAATTTCAGGGCTTTTGTATCCTAAATCATCAAATGACTTGTGATGGATAATGAGAATCTCGTGATTGTTTTAAAAACCGTATCCTTAGCAATCACATAGTGTAAGACTTAACTACACACACACAAAACTTAGACAAATAATTAAGATCTTTTTGACCTGTAATAAATCTTTACTCTATAAAACTGTGAGTATTTGTTTTTTATCAATAAAGCACCTATACATGGAGCTCTCCCATTGATCTGTTACTAATGTTTATGTGTGAAGGCGTGCGAATTGTAATACTCGCTCCGTCTCGTAAACAACTTCACACTTCGTTTTTACACATATTAAGGAAATAAGTCTACTGGGGGTAAATTTTAATGTTTGGACACTTTTTGACACTGTTTGGATGTAGATAATTTGCCAAATAAGAAAGTCGGAAGAAGTGTGAAGTTAATTTGAGGACTGCCCGAAAAGGAAAGTGTGAAATTGTTTACGGGATGAAGGGAGTAATTAAAAACAAAAATTATGACATTGACTCCAATTATCTACGGACTATAGATGGCTCCCACACGAATCCATATGAACAACGTAATGGATTTATCCATGTCACGTTCTAAGTGAAAGGGGTTCATCAACTTATCATATGGTGTTTCAAACTAAATGCCAAGTTCTGAAATAAATGTCTTTCTTTTCTTTTTGGATTAGACCAAAATAAATGTCTTGTTTCAATTTTTGCAAGATATGTAATTCATACGGAGTATCATTTTACTTTATTCTACTCAAATATCAAGCACAACTTTACTTTTCAATCACTTTAATAATTGTGTCAAACCAAAACAAGACATATAAAATGGGATGGAGGTAGTAGTATACAATTGTTTGATTTTATTCTTCCTTTGAAAGTTCAGTGCCTATTTGGCAGCCTCATTTAAATTACCAATGAGATCAGTCAATTTTTCTATCAAACAGACATTTTTTTTCGCAATGGCTGAATCAATTCATAATTAAAAAAATGGTTGATGAGTTAGCTTTTGGCTGAAATGAATACAACTATCCTTTTTATCTTCATTCTAAAAGATTGTTAAAATGAATGCCCTCAATCCCTATTTAAGGTTCTTCGCCACCACTCATGCGTTCAACTTATCTCTCATTAAATCTTTGATTCATATACTAATTTTTAATCATATCCGAGCTCAGTTTAAAAAGTTCAATATAGCTTTTAATGTGGTTTTCAAATAAGTTAATTTTGATTATAAATATTACTCTACATATCATCAAAGGAGAATTAACTTTATAATAGTCAACCATCAAAAACCATACTAAGAACCTTCATACGGGATAAAAGCATTCCCTTTTTGAGACATTTTAACAAAACTTTAGATGAATAAGGCAATTAAGCTAACACAACCCCAATAAATGGGTCTTAGACGGATTTACATTGCTTAGCCAGCAACAATGACGTGTAGGAGTGTAGATATCCTCTCAGTAGGACTAGCAAGCAAGCAAAGCTGTTTTACTAAATTCCAATGGTATGGCTTTCAAAAGCTGTTTTTTAATTGAGAAATCACAGTTTGGATGTAACTAAAAGTGCTGTTGGCAAGCAAAGCGATACATTGCTTGTAAGTTGCAACTTTTCAATCAGATTTTGGTGTAAACCGTGACTAATCTACAAGAGTGTTTGGATCTACTTCTTAAAACTGCTTTTTTGAAGGAGCAGGAGCAAATATTAGAATGTTTGGATGAAAGAGTAGAAGTACTTTTGAGTGCTCCAAAATGCTTCTAGAAGCATTTTTTTAGACGCCGAGAGAGACCAGCTTCTGAAAAAATAATTCTGATTCTAGTTTTGCTTTTAAAAAAATATGCAGAAGTAAAATCAACCCCAAACACCCCTATTATCCAAACAAATTTCACTTTATTAAACAAGCTTTTGAGTAAATATATCCAATTACACGTCAAGTTGGTATTAAGTTACTTTTACCAAGCTAACTTTATTAAATAGACTTTCAAACGAACTTTAAGCAAGCTGAAATTCAAATACACACCTATTATCTTTACTTTGTTCAACCAGCTTCTCCAAAGAGAAGTTTGACATTAAATGCATGAATTTGCAAAGAACGAATGGTTTTGTAGAAAAGAACTGAATCAGAACACAACAAAACGCCCCTGAAAACCCTATTGCTTTTAAGAAGGATGAAATGGTCTGTATTATTCTATTGGCCCAACTTCTCTAAAACTTGGCTTAAATTGATTTTTAAAACTGCAAGTATAAGAAGAAAGGAAAGATTAATTGTGACTTTGCAGATCACATGGTGTGTCAAGTTACAAGAAGATGTCAGGCCTTCATTAATGTTTACTCATCTCTAGATTCCAGACCACTAGTGTTGGAAGAAGTAGTTTTCAAAAAATAAGTGTGGCAATGCAATCTTCAAGAATGGTATTCACAGATTGTCATTCATCAATGGTCTTGAGAAGCTTCATCTAACATTGGTTTCATCTCTGAGGCTAAAATGAAATGAGACTAAGAGCAGTGGCAACAATAGGTGATAAGTAGGGAACAATTGGGATGGTGGGACTTCCACATCTTTTTATGTTTTCTGGCTAAATTTCATAGCATACCCATAAAAAAATTTACGCGCTTCTATTTAACAAATAATCTTTTAACAAGTTTAACAAAAGTTATCAGCAAATAAGAAGTTAACCGCCTAACTTTACATTTTAACAAGTTTTGATACTCTTGTTAAATAGAAGTGCAAAAATCATCTTGTTCAATAGTTCAACACTTCAACTTTGATTCAATGACATCAACTGGTAGTTATGCCAACATATTTTATTGTTTACAACCTTACCTTTCAACGCTTCAAATGCAAATGTATACTTTTAGTTACATCAAACCACCATTACAACTCAATCACATAAAAATACTTTTAAGGTACCCAAAAGTATTCTAATACTTTTAAGCAAGTCAATCATTTATCTCTCAAGTTAAATAAAAATCGGATAAAAAAATTATTGAAATACCAATCACCAATTAGGTACCCAAAACACTATTAAGGGATGTAAATTGGGCCAGCAGGCGACATCATTGAAAAGAAAAATGAAAATGGGATTTGCTAGAAATTTATTTGGAAAGAAAACTTGGGGGAAAGGGACAAGTCCTGCATCCCCAACAAATGAACCTATAAACTTTGTTTGCACCGAAAATTAGAAAAATAGAATAAAATATGATTTACAGGAAATTTATCATCAAACTATTGACTTGAAAATATATATACTACACCCGTCTTGGCTTAAGCTTCTCATTGAAAAATGGCACGGTTATATATATATATATATATCAGTAATATCACCTAAGGTTATTCGAATATATTTTGAGAAGTAGTTTTGATGAGCATATATTATAATAAAGTCATTGATGATAATTGTGATGTTATAGGTGTATTATTTTTAATATTTGATAATTAAGTTGTCATTTAAAAGTGTTAATTATTTCTTAAAATAGAAATAAGAATCTTTAGCTGGACATCTAAAAGAGGCAATTGAGTAGCTTAAGCAACGGAGCGAGTTCTTCCTATACTGAAAACCACAATGGAGCAGAAAATCCATAAATTTAAGGAATCCGGTTTCCTTGATCAATCTCTTCAAAGTAAAAAAACTCCATAGCTAAATTAAAAAATCAGAAAAAATGTGCAAAAGCATACATCAATAGTGTTCCTCTATAATCAACCTCCCATGAAAAAGAAGCAAATAATCTGAAAGACTGAAACTTTTTTGTTTTAGGACGCGTACAAAAAAAGATGTATTGATTTCAATGGAGAATTAGGACTTACTGAGCTAATATAGTCAATAAGAGCAGCATTTGCTTCGCCATCTTTTGCTGGAGCATCAATTTGGATTCCAACAGCTTCGCCGCTCAAATCTGAATAAAAACAGGAAAATTAATACGTATTTTTTCGTAAACAATTCTTAACTATAAAAAAGACAGGGTGGGAAGGGGACCAGTAATGGTGGCAATTTTGGAGCCGGGCTTGGCGTGGATGGTTATTGACACGGAAGACGGGGCAACGACGCGGATGCAAGCCGGGTATTTGGAAGCGGAAGGAGGCATACACTGAGTTGACTCGGTGGCTGAGTTACCTTTGGTCTTGCCTTTCTTTGATGGAGGAGCCATACTTTTATGGGCCTTCGCTGGAACCACCGGCATAGAGAAATTTAGTCGCGATTAGGGATTAACGGAAGGCTGAAACCAGCTAACCACCTGCGCTCGAATTCAATCGCGAAGATCCACTCATGACTCATCCAAGAGTAGCAGGGGTGTTTGGTTCACGGCATATCACCCGTTTGACTCTTATTTTGCTTTTTGACGGGATAACCCCTAATAGGTGTGTTAGGTAAGTTGACTTTTTCGCTTGACTTTTTATCTGAAACAATTAAAATGCAAAAAGGTTATGAAACTGGCGTTTACATACTGGCCATTTGGAAATTCCGTTGATATCTCTATTATGACCAAGACATCTCCTCCTCTGGTTCATGTGTCACTTGTACTTCTTCCGTTAATTAAAGCTTAATAAGTTTACTTTGAAATAGAGAATACTTTTAATGAGGAAATTTTTAAACGATATTGGGAGCCCAAATAAATCTTAGTCCAATAAGTCTCTTTTAAAATAAATCCCTAGGGAAGTCACGCCCATTTTTCTTAGATAAGCGCCGCTGAAGCTCTCGAAACCTTTTCACCGAATTACTCCTTTCGAACGCCGGAACTCATCTCGTTTATCAAATTGGTCCCTGGTATCATCGGATCTTATCTCGTAAGTTTAATTTTCAATCTTCTATGCTTTTGCAAAAGGTTTTACTCTCGTAATTTTAAATTTATGATCGAAACAAGAGGTTGTTTTAGCCGGACAAATTTCGTTGCTTAGATCTGGTTCTTTGTGTGTGTGTGTGTGTGTGTGTGTGTGTGTGTGTGTGTGTGTATAGGGGCAAGATCACATGCAAACCAGTCCTCCCATACAAACTACAAACTAATCTCGTGCGTCCGTTTGTACTAAATAAAGGGCATCCGTGTGAGATGCATGATAAGGGGATGTGGACGACACATGGAATCACAACAAAATTGACAACTATAAATGGAACGGTTAGTAAGAAGGGATACTATAGTAATTTACAAATTAAAAGTGTCCGGTAGTTCTAGTTATTTTTGGCAATAATTTAATGACTAGACCTCTAGATTAATGCTAACCATAAACGTAAAAGAAACTTACCATTTTGTAATTAATATTTTATGAAAGCTTTTACTAAAATAATATTTGGAATTATAGAATCAGAATCTACATAATTAAACTACCATTTTTCAAAACATAAAGATGGTAAGTATTATAGAGCTCTTGAATGAAATGAGCATTGTTAGAAGTGTATGCATATTAACGTTACCTGATGTGCATATTAGTGTTCAGGAGGTGCATTAAGGTTACGTGATGTGCATTGTACATTTATAATGTCTCCATAAATTATATTAGAATTGCATCGTGATAAAATATGTCAACATTGCATTTTAGTCGTTTGTATGTTGCATGTTATCTCTACAACATGTGCATTTTACAAGTTCGTATATTGCGTTTTCAAATATGTACACTTTAGAAGTTCATACTGCATCTTAGTGCTATGACATATGCATTTTAGTATAGAGTGCATAAGTTGCATTTTATCATTATGATATATGCATTTTAGAAGTTCATACACTGCATTTTGGTAAGATGACGTGTGCATTGTCGAAGTTCATACACTGCATTTTAGTAAGATGACATGTGCATTGTAGTAGTTCATATGTTGCATCTTATTGTTATGACATCTGCATTGTATAGTCAACTGACATGCATACGTGATTCGTGATGTCTCAAGATACATAATATATAAGAAACATTTTTTAAATAGTAAAAAAACTGCACATTAAAATTACAATATTTTTTAGATACTAAAATTACAAGAGCTGCTCATTAACACAATTCACATATTGTGCTTTTACATCATATGTTAACTGCACATATGTGCTTTTTAGGAGTTCATATTTTGCATCTTATCATTATGCCATCTGCATTATACTAGTATACTCAATTCACATGCATACGTAATTCAAGAGAACACAAATGCAAAATATATAAGAAATTTATTCTGAATGCTAAAGAAATACAACACTTTTGTTACTAAATTTACAAGAACTTTGTATGAACACAAAATTGATGGATTTCATAAAAGAAAAAATAATGTTTTTCTGGCGTTCATAATATAGTTCCGGCATTCGAGAACTAATGGTCTGATCTCTGGCGTCTCCTTATACGTGCCGGAATTCAGGACATTCGAATAGAAGAACACTTGAGTAGAAGAACACCAATATGATTCTATTAAAATTTGAGATTGAGGAGGAGATGGAGATGGAGAAGAGATAGAAATGGTGAAGCTTTGATCCTAAAGATATGGCTGAATGAACGTGCAAGAGAGAAATAATTGAACGTAATCAGACATGATTTTATTTCTAAAAATAAAATATACCTAAAAGACTAATAAGCCCTTAATTGTCTAATATAATCAAGATGAAAGCTACGGTTCTATCAACTAAAATAGAGGGCTGAGATCTATTTGCATTTTGTAAATTAAGAAGACTATGTATATGATCCCAATTCTATATATATATACATATATTTGTATTTGGATTTGGCTTCTGGAGTTTTTAATCTAGCTGAGTTCTTGTCCGTTTGGAATTCTGGAAAGTGGAATGTAAGACAACTTAATTTCATTGCTGCTGTTTTAAACGGGTCAGATTTAGTTGTTCGGATCGGTAGTTATTAATGGAGCTTTGGTTTAAACATTAATAATAGATTATGATTATAATATTATTGATTACCCAATTCACTTTAGTTTTCCGTATTGGGAGAGAGAGCAAGTAAACAACTTCTCAAATAGTTAGATTCCAGTAGGATCATTCCTGTTTGAAAATATATATTTTCCACTGTTTTATTCATCCAATTCAGCTCGTTCTCCAAGTTCTTTACAAATAAATAAGTCTACAGTGGAGCAACTCATTTTGTTTAGTAGCAGATTACCATAAGTGGCTTAACATCTTGTTCAACAGGAGGAGAATTTAATGTGAGCCACCAAATTGTTTTCCAAGTGTTGAGTCATAAGCAAATGAAGTGTCACTTGAGTCGTAAGTATTGAGGCAAAATGTGTTGAACTTAAGTGGTTCTTCAGTATACTTTAAAAGATATCAATTTCTGATTATATTATTATACCTTTATATCTAATTAAAGATTTCAAAGAAGAGTTTACCGGAAGACATTATCAAGAGTAATTTGGATTCAGCTGTTAACAGGTAAGTTCATTACCACATGTACATGTTTGTTCAACCAAATGAAAGAAGTCTGATTGATTTTAATAGATGATTTTAGACTATTTGCTGTTATGTGAACTTGGTGAACTAATTGATGAGTTATTTTATCTGGCATAGGTAAGATTTTGACAGTACTTTTGTTTCCAGATTTAATAATGTTTTTATTCAAAACGTCACCATAAAAAGAACTAATATTTAAAGTGAAAGATCAGGTGATATGTACTCAGGAACAAGTTCCCTCAGATTATCAGTTTATCATTTTCAGAGAGTCCGATATGTTCAGTGGGTCGCTCCCCTGAGCTGTCAGATTGGCGCCTTTGAGTACATATCACGGGCCCACAGTTAAAATTAGCCACAAAGAGTTTTATAGAAAGTTTATGAGATCCCTTTTAGAAAGTTTTACAGAAAGTTATTTTTGGAATCTCTCTCACAATTTATTTGAGAAGCTATTTGTTAGTTGTTTGTTTAGTGCATGCTTATAGCCTAAATTTATCTGTTCATAAATTAGCATAGACTTCTCAGATATTTTTGTGAATTCATAGTGACTTACTAAGCGTAAAACTTACCAGTTTTCTTTCTTCGCATGTACAGAATTACAGATACTAAAGGTAAGGCCAAGGCCTAGGAAGATGATGAGAGAGTGGAACGCGTGCCGAAATGAGTTAACGAGAACGACCTTGGCGGCTTCTAGCTAGTTATTATTTTATTTAAGTATTTCAGATGTTATAATAAAGTGATTATTATTACTTTATTTTATTTGTGGATTTGAAGTTTTAGTAAATTCCCGGATCCAGGTGTTTATCACATTTGCTGGTGATAACTAGATTTTATTGAGTTTTATTTGGAGTTATATTTTAGTTATATTTGAGATTTTATTAGGGTTATTTCTTAAACAAACAACCGTTATATTGCAGATTTTTTTAAATAGTAAGTTTATGTAACGTCTCCTTTAACCCTGAGAGGGGCGTTGCAGTTGTTTGTGCTACAAATTGTAACTGAATAATTGATTTGGCAAAAGAAGCTAAAAGCTGACTGATAAAAAGTAGGAAGCTGGAAGATGTTGAGAAGGAATTGCCTATAGTAGAAGGGGTTTTGCCACTCTGGTACAGATCTATTTAATCTCCCATTTCTTAAATTTATATGATTATTTTGTCTATTAAGACGGTATGCTTTGTTTCCAACTCCATCTTTGTTCTCTTCGCTAGGAGAATATCTTGGCCTGACTGGTTTCAAGTGGTCTAGATACTCATTTTGTACTTTCAGAGGTAGGCAATTAGAAATTCTGTATTTCAATACCAATATTGATTAAATCCTTTCAAAAAAATTATTTAAATGGTTAATCACATTTAGCCTTTGAGTTGTAAAAAAGTAATTGGATCTGCATTAATAGTCTAAATCATTACCCTGCATCAGTTATATTCTTTTTTTTGTAATTCAAAAAATGACTTACATGTACATCTATTTGCAGTCTAGAATGCAAAGGGGTACCTATGAGTTTGGATATTATGTTATGAGACATATGGAGACTATAATATCTGCAGTTGTTGTTGATTCATGGATTGAGGTGGTGAAATTTTATATTTGTGCTTCATCAAATTTATACTTATTACGCTAGTATTATATTTTTTACGACAAAGTTTTACTTCTATTTTTCATATTCATATTTTATTCAATGTCTTTCTATTTTTATTTTTGATTTGCAGACATTCAATGTTTAAGAGTCATTTAGTCCACATAATATATTACCGAGACAAGAGAGCATTGGGCGTCATTTGTTTGTGACACCACAAGCAGTACAAGTTGCTATTAACAAATATGGTTCTGTTTTGACGTCTAGAATGAATAGTGTTGGTTTCATGTGAAACTTTGTACTTTTGACTTGCAAGAACCTATGAAACTTTTGTAGTTTTTGCTTGCGTGAACTTGTGAAACTTTGCAGTTTTGGCTTGGATTGATTGGTGCTAGTACTATGTGGAACACTGTATTTTGCTACAATTATCAATATATTTGCCATAATTCTCATTTAATGATTTCAT